ACCAGCAACCTGACCTGCATTGCGAGTTTGGCAGCTATTGGTGAAGTTCGTTTCACTGTCTTTCGCTGTACGATGATGATGATGATGCAGCCGCGGTTCTTATGGCACAGTAATCCTTAGATTTTTGTTGTTCTTTTTTCGGGTGATGTCTGCTACCTCAACGGCTTCCCCAACAGAGAACGAAAGCTACATGTTTGAATGTCGGGAATTCGCATGTTACTGGTACTTCGCTATCTGAGGAATACTTGCCAACCTACGGGATATTTCCTTCCGTGTGTCTTGATTGTCCGTCTGAACTTATATCTCACTTGTTGCTGCATTATTTCACAAAAGGTGCAGGTTCGAGCAATAACACATACATATTTAATAAACGGTCTCGTGTGAGATAGCATTTGATGCTCTCGAAATTGGTGACGATGCTTTGGGATGATGAATAAATCCAAAAATGTTCTTAAACAGGCTAAAAAACGTTTGTGAACATCATCCTCAGCTTGGGGAACACACCAAAACCAATATCCGCACCTCAACCTACAACGATTCCACATGATTTCCGACATATAAATTCATTGCATCATAAAATAGTATTTCAATTTCAAAACGTAAAACTGCGTCTGCATTGGGATGAATTAACAACAGAGAACCTACACTCCAGAAGTAGAAATAACTGGTTTCAAAATATTAAGACATCTTCTATTCAGGGATATATATATATATATATCACAACGAAAATCCAAAAATCCTTCCGCATTCTATGATCCTCAAATTAGAATACACGTGCAAAGACAACACGTTCCCAGGAGAACGACGCGTTGCGTAAGTGATTATAAGGATGGTTATAAAAGTTTATTGTTACCTACGTCCACAGTGAATAGATTGAACATCCTTTTGAAAGGAAAGGATTGATAAGAAAGTAAGGAAAAAGAAGAAAGCTTGTTCCCTAAACTGCATTTTTCATTCATTGTGTCGCCGGTATATTCCGGGGATAAGAAACTACTTTTGAGCATACCTGATGACAGGCCACTATGCAATACAGTCTTGCCAACAGGAAAACATACCTGAACGTAGCTGAGCAAGGTGAGAAGTAGACGGATATAATGCAGATACGAGCTTCGAGCTGCCAAATTCCACCAGCCCTGAGGTAGAACCGAGTCACCATACAGTGGACGCATATTGGTTAGACTACCGAGTATGTAAGCCACATCAGTAATCACGTTGAATAGCCGCTCAAACGGATGAAATCTCGATCGTCCAAGTGTATTGCCAGCAGGCCACACGAGTATGCGGGGTGGATTGGGTGTGGGAACAGCTTCCTCCGTCAGGTTTTCACCAGAAAGCGGAAATAAAAAACTGGTGGTGCGGGCGACATACGACGGATCTACACCGAAAACTCCAACCAATAAATTCGCAATTGTTGCCCTTCTATCGGACGATTCACCTTCATCTTGGTCCGATTGAGGTAGATGTGAAGGGTAAGTGGAGCTGGGAAGTTCATCGGAATTGGTTTCGAATGCGTCAACAAGTCTTGTAAGTAAACGGACAAGCACGTTGTGTTTTTCGAGCAACTGCCTGGCCTATCCGAAAGACAAGAAATGGAACTACGAGATCAACCTCAGAACGACCCATACAAGGTGAAAGTTGGCAAACAAACAGTGTATAAAGATGACCGCACATGGCAGAAGTACACCATTTAATGTTAGGAGAAACGCGCCATGATCACCGAAACATGAAAGATTGCAAACATATCAACTCACTACTCCTAAGGTGGTAAAACAAATATCATACTTGTCCCGAAACCGATGTAGCAGAGCACAGACCAGTAAAAAAACCATAATGAAAAAAATCACAGAGGAAATAGAGTGATGGCGAACGAAGATTGATTACCTCATTTACAAAATCCCACGGAGACGCATCTTCGTGGAAGAAGATTACCACAGCCCGTATATGGCACGGAGATCGTCTTCCCGAAATACACTGAGTAATATCTATCAGAATGGAGGGAAAACGAGTGGCACATTCCCGAACAAAACCAATAGCACGACTTCGGATGTCGTCATAAAACTGACGTTATTATTTGGCGGCACTCAGTCAATTTGAATTACGATTCTGTTCAACATGTTCAAGGAAAACCTTTAGAACAATCCACAGCGATCCTTTGGACTAATGTCACTAGAATCCAGAGTAGCTTCGTATTACCCGTAAAAATTCATAAACCGAGAGTTCAACTGAGAACTTGCATATTAAAAGAATGACACCAATCGAAGCAAAAGCGGGTTACATGTGATATGTAAAAAAGTAATCGGTGAACAAGCACAAGCTGCTAACCGCATACCATGGACGTAGCGCTGGACAACACACTAGAAGTTGCGGGTTTCTCAAAACAACAGGAAAGATACTCATGATAAGGAAAAATTCATCTATTAGACCTAGAGCGCAGATACCATCACGATGAGACTGCACCTTGGCGTGGGGTGATAGCTTGCCCACCTCAATGACCTTGCGAGCTACACATGATGGCTCCTCACAGCCGCAGATTCAATCATGCCTGAAAGGTCAACGGGTAGAGGCCAGACGCCAACTGCTTGACCACCCGGCTTCCTTCGTCTATCCATCCGCCCCGGGAGAGGTCACTCCAGCAAATAACCTCGGTAAGGGGCAGTTTACCGATAAAAAAAAACCCAGCTAGATGGACGTAGGAGCGGGGTACCTGAGGCTTCCTCTCGACGGTGGGAGAAGTCTCCGCACTTCATTGGACAGCTACCGCCCGCCCAAGCTGGGCAGCCTCCAGCCAATAAGGTGCTGTCCCGTCCACGTTTCGCTTGTCTCATCGGGTGCATGACGCTAAGGGCCGATCCAGAAAAGCGCCCCGATAAACAACGCACCAGCGAAAAACACACTGAACCGAAACCCGAAGGCTTTGCGTGACAGGTATGTAGAAGCTCCCACATGGGTGCTTCGTTCACGCTCCCGCGTTGGATTTACGCCCCACTGCCTTGTGGGTCAGACTCTTGAGTCGAAGGCTCTGGTTAGGGTTCCCAAAGAAAAACCCCTTCGTCGGTGTGGGTAACCGCGAATAATGCCGTGTCCTGAAGTCTTAGGCACCCATTTGGAAAACCATCTTTCCCAAAAGTCCACTGCCTTTTCTCACTCGTAAACCTCAGAAAATGCATCCTGTGTGCCTTCCATGGGATATCACTTATTGCTCAGCTAGTGAGGCCAACCACCCAGAGGCTATCAGATTTTTGAAACCAAAATCTCCTTTCCACTTAGCCGCACTCAATGTCCGCACACTACCAGATCGGTCAAAAAGCTGCTTTAGCTGGAACCGTTTAAACCTTCCACTTAGGTGTATGTCGTGTCTCCGAAACGCG